CAGAGTGCCTGAAGAACCATGGATGGAAGTTCATGACATTGTACAGGAGGCGGTGATCAAAAACCATCTCCAAGAAAAAGAAATGCAGAAAGGCAAAATGGTTGTCTGAGGAGGCCTTACAAATAGCTGAAAAGAAGAGAAGTGAAAGGTAAATGGGAAAAGGAAAGATGCATTCAACCATCTGAATGCAGAGTTCTAAAGAATAGCAAGGAGAGAAAAGAAAGCCTTCCTCAGTGATCAGTGCAAAGAAATAGAGAAAAACAACAGAATGGTAAGGACTAAAGATCGCTTCAAGAAAATCAGAGATACCAAGGGAACATATCATACAAAGACGGACACAATAGAGGTCNAAGCAAGAGAATTTGAGAAAAACATCTACTTCTGCTTTATTGACTATGCCAAAAGCCTTTGACTGTGTGGATCACAACAAAGTGTGGAAAATTCTTTAAGAGATGGTTATACCAGACCACCTGACCTGCCTCCTGAAAAACCTGTTTGTAGGTCAAGAAGCAACAGTTGGTACAGGACTTGGAACAATGGACTGGTTCCAAATTGGGAAAGGAGTATGTCAAGTCTGTATATTGTCACCCTGCTTATTTAACTTACATGCAAAGTACACCATGAGAAACGCTGGCCTGGAGGAAGCACAAGCTGGAATCAAGATTGCCAGGAGACATATCAATAAACTCAGATATGCAGATGACACAACCCTTATGGCAGAAAGTGAAGAGGAACTAAAAAGCCTCTTGAAAGTGAAAGAAGAGAGTGAAAAAGCTGACTTAAAACTCAACATTCAACAAACAAAGATCATGGCATCATGGCATCAGTCCCATCATTCCATGGCAAATAGATGAGGATACAATGGAAACAGTGACAGACTTTATTAATTTTCCGGGACTCCAAAATCACTGCAGATGGTGACTGCAGCCATGAAATTAAAAGACGCTTTCTCCTTGGAAGAAAAGCTATGACCAACCTAGACAGCATATTGAAAAGCAGAGACAGTACCTTGCCAACAAAGGTCCGTATAGTCAAAGCTATGACTTTTCCAGTAGTCATGTATGGATGTGAGAGTTGGACTACAAAGAAAGCTGAGAGCCAAAGAATTGATGCTTTTGCACTGTGGTGTTGGAGAAGACTCTTGAGAGTCCCTAGGACTGAAAAGAGATCAAACCAGTCAATCCTAAACGAAATCAGTTCTGAATATTCATTGGAAGGACTGGTGCTAAAGCTGAAGTTTCAATACTTTGGTCTGATGTGAAGAACTGACTCACTGAAAAGACCCTGATGCTGGGTAAGACTTTTTTTTTTTGCTGGGTAAGATTGAAGGGAGGAGGAGAAGGGGACAAAAGAGGATGAGATGGTTAGGTGGCATCACCAACTTGATGAGTCTGAGCAAGCTCCAGGAGTTGGAGATGGACAGGGAAGCCTGGTGTGCTGCAGTCCACGGGGTCGCAAAGAGGCGGACACGACTGAGTGCCTGAACTGAGCTGAGAGCACTGAAGCCAATGAATAAATGTCAGATAAAACAAAGTCTGCATGAGATCTAAAGAGGATGTCCAAATCCGACCAGCATCTCCTCTAATCTGAAGCAGGTTCGATTCTGGCAAATTGAGTACGTTCTGAAGAACAGTCCCAATAATTAATCACTAACTTGAAGACATGAATTCTTTCACAAGCACAGCCAGACTTAAGGAGACAGTTGGCTTGTCTTCTTATATTATCATATGCTTGCAAAGAAGACTACTGAAGAAGAGATCATTGTGTTTATGGTGGGAAATGTTTCTTTTAAGCTCTTCTGGTTTCTATGAAGGAAAATTTTCTATAAATATTCCCAGCTTCTTGCCCTTTCTCTCCTACAGTGAGAAACCTGACTGGTGAATTAACCACTTGTCTACATTTCTTGACTGAGTAGAGCTAATCTATCAAGACAGAGAATTAGTGAATTAGGTCTTTTTTTTAACCTCTAATCCACCACTTGCAACCTAATCAGAATGAGGTAAAAGTCTTAGGCAAGTGTGTCTATTATGAAAACCAAAACTTTCCCTTGAGCGGGCTATTTCAGGTATGGACTAGGGGACAGAAATATTAAAACAACATTGATATGATACACATCCTCTAAAGTTCTCTCAGTATTAAAGTTTATCTCCATCTGCCTAGGTCTTGACTACATGTGAACTGGTTTCAGTCCTAAGGGATAAGAAAAAGGCGAGAGGTATTATGTACTGGGCTCCCTAAACCCTACAGTGGCCAGGGTGTTTTTAGTTCTCCCTGCCCAGAGGCAAGGCACGGCTGCAGAGAAACAGAACAAGCTGGTGTCAACCTTGTGCAGCAGACAAAAGCACCCTAGAATAATCACAGATCTATCATATTCACCTGCCTCTAGAACCAGTGACTAACACACGCTATGGGGAACCACTTAAAGAGAGCATGTAAAAACTGTCCCCAAGAAGCCAATTAAAGGAGATCACAACAAGGTACCCATTCACCTATACAGCCTCTGAAACTGTTATTCCAAGGGACAGGGTTACATAATAAACTACTTCCGCTACTCCTGGGCAAAAAGCAGGCCAGAACAGAACTGCTCTTTCCAACAACATGCAAATTAAATAACATGAAAAAGCAGCACTGCAAGAAAAGAAAGTGAAAGTGAAGCCACTCAGTCCCATCCAACTCTTTGCAACCCCGTGGACTGCAGCCTACCAGGCTCCTCTGTCCATGGGATTTTCCAGGCAAGGGTACTGGAGTGGGTTGCCATTTCCTTCTCCAGGGGATCTTCCCAACCCAGGGATTGAACCCGGGTTTCCCGCACTGCAGGCAGGTGCTTTACCATCTGAGCCAGCAGGTAAACCACAAGAAAAGAAGGAGGGATCATAAAGTGGGAAAGGGGGAAAATACATACATCTGAAAAACTGCTTCATAGAACAGGTTTAAAGAAAAACTGGTTTGCCTGAAGATAAATGGAACAAAACTCCATAAAAGAGATTTTTTTTAGTAAGAGCTAAAGGAAGCTAAATATATAAAGAAAAATAAAAAAAAACACCAGAGACCTCAAAACTACATTAGAAACAATTCCAAGTAGAATAGATACTTCAGAAAGCTAAGTTAATAATACTGATGAGAAACCCAGGAAGATCATTCAGAACGAAGATTATAAGATAAAGGTGGTTAGATTTAAACAAAGTGGTCAGAGAACAAAATGATGTATAGGTTTGGAATATAAACAACTGAGATCTAATCTAAGTAATATTCTTGGACAGAGAAAGACAGACATATGGAAAAGCAAAAATACTCAAGAATATAAAGCTGAAAACTGAAGGGGTACATCGTGTCCCAGGAAAAATCAATACAGAATGATCAAGAATAAGATATACTGTGGAATGTTGCTGAATTTTAAGGGCAAAGAAAGAATGCTACTAGGATCTAGACGAAAAAAGAGGACCACCTACAAGTTAAATAATTCATCCTGACCTCAGGCATCTCCTCAGCCACATTACATTATGGATAGAAGTGAGACTGTACAGTGCTAAGGGTAAAAGAATATGACATGGAATTTTCTCCATAACTGTAATACAATTTTAATGGATATATAACATTTCATTTGTATGCATGTACTATAATCTACTTGACTGGTCTATTATTGACGGATATTTAGACTGCTTCTAGTATTATTTCAAACCATGATGAAATTAATAAACATATATGTATTATTTAAAATACATGTAAGTGTACTATAAAATTAATTCCAGGACATATAAGGGCTGAATCAAGAGTTTATGCATTAAAAAAACTTTAAACCTGAAGTGATATTTGCAAATGGGTCAACAAGGGGGAAATCATCATCATAATAATACAATAAAGAATTACATAGAGTGCTCGCTTCGGCAGCACATATACTGAAAAAAAAAAAGAATTACATAGAAAGCAAATATTGGATGCGAGCAGAAGTTTGAAAAGTCTGACTTCAGAAAAAAGGAGACACATAACAGATGAAAGAAAAACACAATGGAAAAGGGGAATAAGGATATTATATAACAAAATCCAGTTCACATGAGGAAATCTTTCCAGTCACAGACATACTGAAAAGTCTTTCACACACCCCATCTGTTGTTAAAGAATAAAAATTTAAAGGAGGCACAGTGAGTACCAAGAAAGGTAAATAACAAAGAAAAGGAAAAATTTGTAATAAAGCATGTACTACTGCACAATGAAATACAGAGCTTGGCAGTGTAGTAGAACAAACCAATACTGTTTTATATCCGATATTTCATATTTTGTTCTAGTTCAGTCTTTGGTATAAATTTTATTGCTTTATAATAAATATTTCTAAAAAAAATATGGCTTCCTAGTTTTTCCACCAGTCTTATGTTTGCAGTTTTTACACTTCGGACTGTCTGATCTCTGAGCAACCATCTAACCCTAACACTAATTAGAACAATGTCTTGCACATAACTGTTTCAACGTCAAGATGTACAATAATTTTGCACTATTTAAATACATAAATTTCAAAGAATACTGGATATGTCAGGCAAAGACGAATACAAAAGCGACTAGAAAGTTTGGTCATATAAAAAATATATACATACCACTGGATGATGTTTATTTGGCCAGTAAATTATTAGTATAATCAACTCCTACTAAAGGATGAGGCACCTGTGGCTACTGCATAAATATTGATGTGAAGATCATTAAAGGAATATCACCTTACAGTACGTTAACTGGGTCAGAACCAAACAAATCAATACATACTTAGAAAAAAACCCGAACCATGGTTAAACGTTATCTTCCCAATAAGCTATTCCACGGTGATCCATAGCTTATGATAGCTTTTATGCTCCGTGCATCAAGATAATCTATTACTTGAAAAATAACCCCACCCCCTCTACTGGCAAATCCACAGCATCTCGGGCTAACTGCCAGGATGGATTTTTTCCCCCCTCCCCTCTCCATCTTTCTCAGAGCATCAGGTATATAACTGCTGACAGCACTTGGGCACTGACCAGGTGATCCGAGTTTCCATGATCGCCCAGGATCGGTCCGTGGCGCTGGGATAAAGGCCTCGGGCTGCAAGATTTGTGCGCCGGGAGCCTCGTTAGCTCCTGCCGGCCGCACTTCGTCTGAAACCGCGCCTTTACTTAGGTTGTGTTTTTACCCATTGCTAACCATTTAGTTTCTAAAGAAGACATTCCCATTACAAAATAACGACAGGAAAATAATAAGATAAAAAGGAGGTCAGCAGGAAAGCANGCCGCCGCCGCCGGGGCGCTCCCGCAGCCGGTGCCCCTCCGCACCAGAGCGTGGAGGTGTCGGGCTCCCGCCGCGGCAGGCGGGAGATTTAAACGCTGCGGCCTGGCGCACGCGGCAGCCGCGCTGCCCTCGGCGCCTCGGCCCGGCGTCCTCCGCGTTCACGCCTGTCGGGCTCCCGCCTAGCCCCGACCCGCGGAGGCTCCGGCTCTTAGCCGGTTTTTGAAGAAACTCCGGGACCCTCCCGGCTCCTCCTTTCCGGAATCCCTCTAATAAAGTGAAATGACAGACACCAAGTCGTTAGAACAGCGGTATAAGGTACTTGAGTGGGCGCCCTCCGAGGCGTGGGGAAGTCTGCGCTCCTCTCCTGAGCCCGGAGCCCAGGACTCCGCCGCCTCCCAGCCCCGCTGCAGCTGCGGGCGCTGGGCTGCCACCCCTGCGGGGACAGAAGCTTCTGAGCCCTGGTCATCCCTGAGGCCTCGGGCGCGTCTCATCACGCGTGGCGGCACGCTGGAAACGTTCACGTGCTGTATAACTCTTATTTAAAAGTGTGAAGAGGATTAAGTCAACGATTTAATTACTGACCTGAGATGCACATTTGTGCCTGCGTGCTCAGTCGTGTCTGACTCTCTGCGACCCCATGGACGGTAGCTCCGCCAGGTCCCTCTGTCCATGGGATTTTCTAGGCAAGAATACTGGAGTGGGTAGCCATGCCCGTCTCCTGGGGATCTTCCCCCCGCACCGAGGGATCGAAGCCTTTGGGCCATTGCGGAAGCCCCAGCTTAACCACAGTTTGTCATAAACGAATCTTCAAGAATCAAAGGTAAAATTTGCACCTGAAAACCTCAGGAAAAAATATTGGAAATAAGGCAAAAGTAGAATTCTGTTATTGGTGGAATATAATTTAAGCTCAGAGTGCTTGCTTTTTATTTATTTATTTGGTTGCCCGGGGTCTTAGTTGCAGCATGTGGTATCTTTAAGTTGTGGCATGTAGGATCTAGTTCCCTGACCAAGGAACAAACCTGGGTCCTCTGCTTTGAGAGCATTACCTTAGCCACTGGACTACCAGGGAAGTCCCACAGTGCTTTTCTTTTAAAGGTTAACAAAAGTTAGCAACTTTAAAAGTTTACAAAATATGAATTAGTCACAGCTGTGACATATGGGCTAGCAAGGAAAAAAGCTTGAGGTGGTAATTAAAGTCAATAACATTATGAAAAATACAAACATGGGGTGAGATTCTAGAATATTATTACAAAGTACTTAGCTTAAAAATCCGGGGGGGTGGGGAAAGGTTTATATAATAGGAAAAAGGGTAAGCAGTTTATACTACAGAGCTAATTTGGACTGAAAATTAAGTCTTTAGACCAGGAATTCTAACCTTGAGATATATGAAGTTTCAAGGTGAATACATGAAATAATATGCAAAAATTTGGCTCTTTTTTTTTTTTTTTAAAGAAAGAATCTTCAGCTTTCCTCAGAATCTCACAGTCCAGATCCTTAGAAGGGTAAGAGTTATAATTTGGCAATTATGATGTTTGCTGCAATTCCGCGGACCTTTCCTGACTCAGGTGTCCCTTCTAAAGGCATACCTATACTCTCAAATTCAACTACCCTACTGTATTTACCTGCCTGTCTCTCCATTAGGTGCTTCTCCATGCGCATGTCCATAGCCTTATCTATTAGTACAGTGCCTAATGCACACTTCCTTATGAATGAGTTTATTCAATTAATAAATGAACAGAAAGGATACCTAACTAACAACTGAAGTATACAATGTCAATTACCTAAAGAGAACTGAACACCTTTCTCCCCAAAGAATAAATGCTTCTAATATGGTAAGCAAGATGACTTCAAAACTGTTACTATACAGCGTAGTAAGTTTCTTCGGATATTTTAGAAAGTGCTTATTTCAACTGGATGATGTTTAACTCAAGAGGATATTCAACTAATAGCTTCTACAGGTCAACCTGAAGCAGACGAAGGGCCTCCAAGGAACACAGTAAGAAGTCAGGTAGTGACTCTAGGGCCAAAACTGTTGGTTTTGCTCACTTAATTAGGGAAAATTACCAAGAGATATGCAATGTCTCTGAGCCAAATAATGCAGCATTTACACATCTCTTTCCTTTACAGGTCACTAAGAAAAGTGTGCAAGTGGGAGCACAGTATAGGAAAGGTGTCAGCAAGCAAGGTCGAGCTACTGACACTCTTCCTGGCCAGGAATCGGGTCTTCTCACTCATGGTGTTGGATTGATGAGAACTATTTAAATGTCCTTGTACAAATCCCTTAACAAATGAGGCAGCAGTAGTTAAAATGTAGTGTTTCATTAAAAAAAAAAAATTTACCTAAAGAGAACTGAACACCTTTCTCCCCAAAGAATAAATGCTTCTAATATGGTAAGCAAGATGACTTCAAAACTGTTACTATACAGCGTAGTAAGTTTCTTGGGATATTTTAGAAAGTGCTTATTTCAACTGGATGATGTTTAACTCAAGAGGATATTCAACTAATAGCTTCTACAGGTCAACCTGAAGCAGAGGAAGGGCCTCCAAGGAACACAGTAAGAAGTCAGGTAGTGACTCTAGGGCCAAAACTGTTGGTTTTGCTCACTTAATTAGGGAAAATTACCAAGAGATATGCAATGTCTCTGAGCCAAATAATGCAGCATTTACACATCTCTTTCCTTTACAGGTCACTAAGAAAAGTGTGCAAGTGGGAGCACAGTATAGGAAAGGTGTCAGCAAGCAAGGTCGAGCTACTGACACTCTTCCTGGCCAGGAATCGGGTCTTCTCACTCATGGTGTTGGATTGATGAGAACTATTTAAATGTCCTTGTACAAATCCCTTAACAAATGAGGCAGCAGTAGTTAAAATGTAGTGTTTCATTAAAAAAAAAAAAGGCTTTTTTATAAAATGAAAGGATTTAACACTATGAAAATACTTTATATGGGGGGGTTTAATTTTGTTAAGAAGTATCAAACATTCAGAAAACTGCTATTTCATTTCCTTCAACATACTAATGGATTTATCCCAGTATGAGCAGTGTTTTCCTCCATTTCAGGCTTCCACAAGCTAACTAGAAAAGCGGACCATTAGATGGCTTAGAATTTGGAGATCCACAATCTAGGATCCCAACCTGGAGTCCAGATTTCCTTAGAGAGCAATGATCTTTACTTTTATTTTTGCACCATCAAGCAAGCCTCTGGTTGTTGTTCAGTCGCTCAGTCGTGTCCGACTCTGCAACCCCATGGACTGCAGCATGCCAGCCTTTCCTGTCCTTCACCATTTCCTGGAGTTAGCTGAGACTCATGTCCATTGAGTCGTTGATGCTATCCAACCATCTCATCCTCTCCCCTTCTCCTCCTGTCTTCAGTCTTTCCCAGCATCAGGGTCTTTTCCACTGAGTCGGCTTTTCGCATCAGGTGGCCAAAGTATTGGAGTTTCAGCTTCAGAATCGGTTCTTCCAGTGAATATTCAGGGTTGGTTTCCTTTAGTATGGACTAAAGCATGGATTAGTATTGATAAGCTTCCAGTTAACATCCCAAATAAAACCTCAGTTGATATTAGAATACACATTAAGAATTCTGCCCTCTTGTTTTATTCTTAAGGATTAGGGACCTGTTGAACCTGATGTCATGAAGCCTGATACCATGGAAATAGCTCCATTTCTTCCAGGTGTTCCTCTTTCTTTATAATCTGATTTTATAGAGGAAGTCAGAAGCAGCAGGTCAGTGGCAGTCAGTCAAAATATGGAGAAACTATCTCCCCAGATGCTCATGCTACTAATGACTTACACGTGGCAAGGTAAGTATGCTTACTTTCCCATACTGCGTTTTTGTTGATTCAAATAAGGCTACAATTAGTATTATTGAAATGAATTGTTTAAAATGTGAATTGTTAAGAGACATAAAAAGGTATTTCCTCCTCCTGAAACAATCATTGAACTTTATTTGGTGTTAGTAAGTCCCAGGCATATAGCTATACATAGAACTGACATGTTGCAAACTTTCTATCAGATTGTAACTAACCAAGATCATTTTCCTGTAGTCTTTATTATTCGGAAACATGTTGCTGAGTTCTGCGACTAATTGGTTTTATACCATCACACTAGATATTTAACCTGTTTGGGTTGAGGTTTCCTTTAACATGAATAACATGATAATTAAAATGATACAAATAACAGGATAATTTTCAAAGTTCCTATTTTGCTTATATTTCACAATTCCTATGTGAAAATAATAGCAATGGATCTTGAAAGTACACATTTTCATATTATTATGCTAATACATTAAGTTGTATACTAAAATCGAGATCAATTCTAAAGACAAAAACATGCAAAGCTGAACATGGTAATTTGGTACCAAATAAATGCCACTTATATTTGTGTACAACCTTTCTTTCATCTAGGTGAAGACATTTTCCCACTTACTCTTTACATGTATGAAAAAATATTGTTCTTATGCATGACTTAAGAATGGGCAGAATTTGTATGATTAAGAGCTTGAGCTCTGAGATAAGTCCAGATTCAGATTCCTATTCTGCTATTTACTGGCTGCATGAAATCTAGTCAAATAACTTGACCTCTGTAGCAAATATTCTTCTTTAAGATAAAGATCTCTTGCTTTTTGCCAGGGAATTCCCTGGGGCTCCAGTGGTTCACACTCACTGCTTTCACTGCCGTGGCAGGGGTTCAGTCCCTGGTGGGGGAACTAAGGTCTTGCAAGCCCCGCAGTGCAACCAAATAAAATAAATCTTTTAGTAGCCATGTCAGAAGATTGTTACAGAGGTATAGTTTTTTGCTGCTTTTATAGACACCACTGGAAGATAATACACTTCCTCAAACTTGGGAACCAATGGGACTAATATTGGAATAACAATAGTTAATCTAATTATATTAAACCAAAAAACCCCTATTCTACTAAGCTACATTAAAGATATATTTGGCTTGTGTGACATAATAAAACATGAATATGGTTACTAATAGAAGTCTATGATAGTCAAAAAATGTCAGTATTAAAGTGCCTTAACAAAATTCCTGCTGATTTTATACCTGGCAGTTTCTGATTTGCAAAGTTTGGATATCACTTGTCAAATGAAACCTGATTCTAATTAGTGGCTTTTTAAATAAAACATATTAATTGAATACCCTTGCTCATGCATACTGTTAAAAGTGTAATTTTTTCCCCCTTTTAAGAATAGAAAGTTTGGTGTGTTTGTGTAGTCGCTCAGTCGTGTCCGACTCTTTTTGACCCTATGGACTGTAGCTTGCCAGGTTCCTCTATCCATGGGGATTCTCTTGGCAGGAACACTGGAGTGGGTTGCCATTTCCTTCTCCAGGGTATCTTCCCAACCCAGGGATCGAACCCGGGTCTCCCGCATTGCAGGCAGACACTTTACCATCTGAGCTACCAGGGAAGCCATGGTAGAACGTCAGCCTTGTTCCTTGGACTGACTTTTTCAGCAATTGGAGTATATTTTGTGCCTAACTTTAAAATTAGGAAGCTTGTTGCCAAACAGAAATTTCTTAACACTTTGATGAGGTAAAAATAAGGATTAACGTGTTTATGAACAGCATTACCATGGCAAGGCAGCGTAGATGACCCTGTACTGGTCTGCAGGTCCTGGACACTGCACTGTCTGGTTCCCAAATTCCAGCTCTAGAAAAGCAGCTCCACTCACTTCTCCAAGCAAATCTTAGGAGCAAACAAGTCCACGGAAGGCCCCTGTCTCCAGTGTAACTAAAATGGAGGAAAATGGACTATTGAAAGGGACCCTCTACTTTTTTAGACAAGACAAACGATGGGAGGTAGGAAAGCACTATGTTTTAAAAGGACTTAAGTCTTCTAGCTTTCTCTTGGCCTCTCATGCTCTTACTGTTTGGAGAGTAAGATCTAACCGCTTGAGTTACATAAGAGGTTTGGTAAGGATCAATCAGCCTTTCTCTAAGAGACTTGGCCACTGATACTACATCCCGCAAAGAATCCCTAAACCATGAATGTATCCTGCGTCGGCACCATCGTTAAGAATGGGCTCGGAACCAGGACTTGATGCCACTTTCTTCTTTGTCCTTCATCTAGTAAACTGGCCTCTTTGAGCCTGTGTTAGGTGCTCAGTCAGTGTCCCACTCTTGGCAGCCCCATGGAGTCCATCAGGTTTCTTTGTCCATGGGATTCTCCAGGCAAGAATACTGGAGTGGGTTGCCGTTCCCTCCTCCAGGGGAGCGTCCCAACCCAGGCATCGAAGCCAGTTTTCCTGCATTGCAGATAGGTTCTTTACTGTCTGAGCCAGCAGAAAAGCCCTTTACCTTTACTTTAACCACCTAGGTTATGCATACTACATGTGAGCAGAACAGACTGGGTGAGTTAAGAAAAATATTTTCTGTAACTCTGTTCTTAAGGTTCATTCAGAACCATCCAGAACAGGAATATAACTTCATCTTCGTCCTTTGAAAAATAGCGTCAAAAGGGAGTGCAGGTCCCTAACGAGTGTGGAACAAAACCACTTTAACAGCACTGGACTGCCTCTGAACTCGGTATACTAGAGGACTAATCATTCACCTGGTTTAATCCACTGTCAGCCTGGCTCTCAGGTGCAGCCAGGTTATTCTGGTGGTTTCCTAGACCTCTGTAATAGGAAACCTCGTATGAGATACATGGCATTAGAGTCTAATGATGAGACCAAACTGATTTCCTGTTTATTATTTAGAGGCAGAGGTGCTCTGCTTGAGAAATACTAATCCATTAAAGTCACATTTTAAGACCTTTACGTTACATATCTGGCATATAATAAATGGATTTAGATAAGTGCTAATGATACAAAAATTTTAGAATGTTTTTACCTAAAACTTACTGAAAGGTTTTGTCTGAAGAATTCTTGTCTATACGCAAGTTTAAGTGTGGAGAGAGATTCCTGGTTACCATGAAATCTGTATGCTATTTCTAAAGGATTCTGACTTGTCTTTATGTATTTTTAAAATCTTTTATTTATTATTTTTTTGGCCACATTATGCAGCTTGTGGGATCTTAGTTCTATAATTAGGGACAGATCGCTGGCCCCCAGCATTGCAAACATGGCGTCCTAACCACTGGATCGCTAGGGAATTGCCCTGACTTATCTTTGAAACAAAGTACTTCACTTAAAATATTTCAACAAATTCTTAATAACTGGCAACATCTACATGTTTTAATGTTCTGAATACTTACAAAGAATATTATTACAGTTACAGGATAACTTTTTTACCCAACACAGATTGTATTTCTGATTTTTCTGTTAAAATTTTACTTTTTAAAATGCTTTTTTTAAATGCTAACTTTAAAAAATGAAGTTTCTCCCTCAGAAATAAAAATCTGAACAATTACTGAACTTTTAACACATACTTTCATAGGACTTCAAAAACAAATCATAATTCAAACCAATACCTTTAGAAAAGAAATTAAAACTCAGTTTAATTTCAAAAGTTTTCATAAGGTAGAGAATGCTGGCTATGTTTTATATTCAATAAACACAACTGTTGTATAATAAATACAAAATAAAAAGAGTGATAACACTATCATCAAGGGTGAAACAGTATATTAACTTTAATCTAAAAGGCTGCTTCCTGTATCTGTATTGGTGTTAGCTAAGTATTCTCTATTGATTTTATTAACAGAAGGAATCTTTGCAGTCAAATTTATCTTTCACTTTCATGCCCCCACATGGGAAGTTGTAGGCGAATATCTGTAGGAATACAATTTATTGTCTGCTCCTCCACTCAGAAGTAACTGCATAAAGTGAGAGGGGAAAAAAAAAAACACAGAAGTAAATACAATTATTTCATATGATAGCTAAACCTAATTTAACTATCAGTAGATATTCTGATTACAGAAAGAATTACAGATGAGCAATTAACTTGCATTGACAGTTAATACTCAGATGTGCCAACTGCATCAAATTTCACTACTATAGCACACACACACATATATATACAGTATATTAAAACTTTAAAAGTGATGATTTTAATTTGGTTGAAGCATAATATGCTATCATACTTTCTATGAAGCATTTGCTAAGAATGCAATAAAATTAAAAGTTTGAAGGGTAATATAGTTTTACCTATTTAAGAAAATTAAGTCTGTGAAGAACAGCACATTAATTGTTTATAGATAAGTGGATATTACAGATTTTTCAAATAGCCCTAGGACCTGTATTTCAAAAGAGTTCTTAGGTAATAAAATAAATTGTAATTCTTTTAAGTACATTTTATAATATAGCCATATTATTTAATATTTTTCTAAGTAGGAAATACTTTGACCCAATTAGTCTGAAGCAGCAAATTTACAGACTTAAAAATTTTATTAAAAATACTCTTGAGAAAAAAAACTGCCTCAAAATATTCAAGTTTTTCTACTCCTAATATTAAAGGATAATTTTTTCTTCTTTAAATGAGGAGGTTTTGTATTAACTTAGAATACAGAATTATAAATATCAGATACATTGAAACTAATAACTATGTGAACAACAAATTTATTCTAATAATATAGTTTCTTCTCTATCAAATAACAGATAAATTCTTACCCCTGAGTCTGTCCAGTCTACACTCAGAACTTTGTCTTCATGAGCAGCCAGATCATAGAGAGGAGCCTTACAACTAAAGATGAAAATATTAACGCATTATATGCATTTCATAGTATTAAACAAATATATATGCATAATCACTTACACTCTTCTGAAAATTCTAGTTTGTCATCCTTGTCCCAATAACCACTTAATCTTAAAATTCTGAGTATTTTCTTGACTATCTCGCCCTGTATCATTAACAGATTATGGGTTTGGTTACTGCCTCTCCATTCTACTTGTGGAAATATGTAAATAAATTATATATACATTCTCTTGGAGGCCCTTTGCATATATTTTTATTGTAGCCCTAACTAAAGAAAGGAATCTGTAAATTTTTATCTTTAAAAAGTACATACTTTTATTAAAAAAAAAATAAAAAGTATATACTTTAATTTCCTATTAACATAATTTCTAATTTGATCAGTTTCATTCATTTAGGCCACTTGCCTTCTAATGCTGTATCATATTTATATTAAGGCTCAGGATTCCTTTCTGCTATTTTATGTAATGAGGTGAGAAAGATGGAGTTCATAAACTTGTGTATTTTTTTTCTTTTGGCAAAAAGATCAACTATCACAAATTCATTCAGAATGCAAAAGATAACATATTGAGAAAATTCCTTTGATCCTGGCCTTCCTTTTTGATATCATTTACGTATCATTTCAGGGCATATGACCAAGAACATTTTTTTCACCCTTCTGCTTCTGGATAGTCATTTCAGTGTTCATTTTCTTTGTATTCAACAATTGATATACTTCTTTTATTAATCATAAACAGGAATTACCTTCTGGTATCCCACAGCTTAACCATGTTATCTAAAGAACCAGAAATGAGCTGCTGTTCATGGGTAGGAGACCACTTTACGGATGTGACCCAGCCTGTGTGTGAGGTCAGGGACAGCGACACCAAAGAACCATCTGAACAAAACAGATAACGATGATTAAATTTTAGAAAAGAGAAGTAGGCAGAACACCCCCACCCCCATCAAATTTGTAGAAGAGTATCTTTCATACACAGCTCTAGTGAGAAGAGAAATTGATATTATTCACCCATGTTTTCCCCTGGAGATTTACATAACTCACCTTTAGTTCGGGGATCCCACAGTCTGATATGCCTATCTGTACTTCCAGATGCTAAACGTTTACAAAGTGGAGAATAGGAGATACAATTAAACACTTTATTTCCTGTCTGGGAAGGAAAAAAAAAAGGAAAGAACATGTAACCAGAGTAGGCTAAAAGTAATCATCTCCTAGAAGTTTTACCACTTAAAAGCTCAGTTAAAATGAGTAATTTTTTTACTTAAAAAAAGCTCAATCAGAGAAGCACTGAATTTATAAGTCTTACCAAAGTTGACTTTAGACTGCCAGACTCAACATCCCATACTTTAATTGTGTGGTCCCAAGACGCACTGCAGATTTCTTCAGCATCTGACCACAGAACTGAGGAAATTGCTTCCTTGTGGCCAGAGAGGGTCACAATGGGAGTCTAGAAATGAAAACACACCCAAAAGGGAAAGCATTTTCAGTTCAGAGTAATCAAAACAATAATAGTATTTATTACTTCTGGAACCCATATGCCAGATATTTTGTCAGGTGTTTTAGCTCTCATATCCTGCCCTATTTCATCTTTACAGCAATCCTCTAAGAGACACTTCAGTTGAGAAAGATAACTTGCCCAAGGTCATGCTGCTTAAAGATGGCAGATTTGAGTCTGAACCCAAATATTACTCCAAAATTTGTAATCTTTCCACAAGATTCTGTCGCTACCCCATCTGCTCTACTTTTCATTTTGAGGAATATTAATAGACACTAAATTTTCCCAATTGACAAACATGTCACAGGTAGAAGCTAGGAGAAAAAGCCCTGGGGGCAGAAAGATGTAGGTTTGAGTTAACGGTGCTGCCATTTTCTACATGACTCTTCCAGGTTAATTAATTTCAGTAAGTTATTCTCACCACCTCATTCCTTCAGCATCCATCCAATCTTTAAATAATTTATTAAACTATGAGTGAGTTATGTAAACCTCCTGGTTCATTTATTAAAACTTCAAAATCTCTTAACATCCCTCTCAAATTAAAATCCTCAAACTGGGTATGGTGTCTGTATTAAACGAAGAAAATGTAAAAGAAAGAGGGAAAGAGCTCTGAAATGAGGGATAGTCAATCTACTTTTTTAACTCTGTTACATTTCACTTCCTTATATGTTAAGGGAATTACACCAGATTAGACATCAGCAAAGTTTTTTGATAAAGGTCCAGAAAGAAAAATTTTTTAGCCTTTCCAGGCCACATACAGTCTCTCTTGCATATTCCTCTTTGTTTTTAAAGCCTGTTAAAAATGTAAAAAGCCCTCAGCTGTCTATAGCACAATAGGCCAGAGTGAGAGCTGCTGTTGGGCTGTTATTTGCCACCTCCTGGACCAAATGATCCCTAAGATCTCTTTTCCAGCTCTAAAATTTTCCTGAAAGTAGTAAAGGAACCTGATAGAGAAGTGAGGAACAGAACACCCTCTGTTGTGATCCAAAACAAAAGTAAGGTAACATAGAAATAATCAGAGGTTCCAAGATAGGAAATGACATGTGAAATGATGGGTAGACTTAAATGAATAAGCAATTCCGTTCCTAGGTATGAAACTGGAATTGATAAATGAAGACTTTTCAAGAGAAATGAAAACTTCGGTTCATACAAAACATTGCCCACAAGTGTTTCTAGCAGTTTTATTCATAACTGTCAAACCAGAAACAACCCAAATATCCTTCAACTGGTGAATTATTAAACCAACTGTTGTACAATATATCCATACAATAGAATGCTACCCAGAATTTGCAAGGAATAAACCATGATATGGGGCCTTCCCTAGTGGCTCAGATGGTAAAGAATCTGCCTGCAATGTGGGAGACTTGGATTCGATCCCCCAGCTGGGAAGATCTCCTAGAGGGCATGGCCACCTGCTCCAGTATTCTCGCTTAGAGGATCCTACGGACAGAGCAGCCTGGCGGGCTACAGTCCATGAGGTTGTAGAGTCGGACATGACTGAGCAACGAGGCCCAGCACAAACCATGATATACGCAGTGACTTGGATGAATCTTTGTTTTTCCCCCTTAAATATATTATGTGGGGAAAAAAAAACTTTGATGTAAAAGACTACACACTATGTGATCCTACTTATATGATATTCTAGAAAAATTCGAGGAATGAAGATCAGACAGTAGTTGTTAGAGTATATAAATAGAAAAGGTTGACTACAGATGGGCAACATGAGTTTTAGGGGATGGCAAGCTGTTCCATATCTTGAATATGTATTACTTACATATTATATTTATTTACCCAAACTCAAAAGCTATACATGAAAAAGTGAATTTTCTTGTTTTTGTTGTTCAGTCGCTAAGTTGTATCTGACTCTGCGAACCCATGGACTATAGCCTGCCAAGCTCCTCCATCTATGGGCTTTCTCAGGCAAGAATACTGAAATGGATTGCCATTTTCTTCACCAGGGGATCTTCCTGACCCAGGGACTGAACTTGTGTCTCTTGCATTGGCAGGCAGATTCTTTACTACTGAGCCACCAAGGATGTAAATTTTTTAAAAAAGAGGTAGAAAAGTCAACATTGGCACTGTTAACTGCAAACAAACTTCAGTAGAATGGAAGGGAAAGTGACTCAGTTGCATCCGACTCTGCAACCCCGTGGCCCATACAGTCCATGGAATTCTCCAGGCCAGAATACTGGAGTGGGTAGCCTTTCCCTTCTCCAGGGGATCTTCCCAACCCAGGGATTGAACCCAGGTCTATTATTATTATTCTACTGAATTTCTCCAGTATTATTCTAGAGAAAAGCAATTTTGAGAGAAAATGTGGAAAAAACCTTATCGTATGTTAATGTATTAGTATGAAACAAATGACCATTAAATGAACTGATTGTTATTTGTGTTAAGAGACGTCAAATACTAGAAAGAAATCTAGAGAGAAGATAACTATTTTTGAAATTTGTCTTATTTTGGTCTTCATAACCCAACTTTTCCTATTATTTCTGATTTTCACTTCTAATAGCTCTTCTACTTTTTCTCTGCATTCACACTTTGGCTACCTGGTACAGGAGTCCTAGCTTTTTGGCCTCTCTTAGCTTTTGACATGCTTTCTTCACTAAGCTTAATCATTTTCAGCTTTTGATTTAAAATGTGCGACATCAGACACTGCCTTTCCCTTCAACACCTAGAGTCCACTGTGTGTTTTTTAACTGGCCTGATTTCAACATTGCTGAATCTCGGGAATAGGGAGGCCCAAGGAGGGAGACAGAAATGGGGGAGCGGCTTGTCGGTGCAGCAGTCAGGACACACACGTTTACTGATTAAGTTCACTGTCTTACAGAGGCATGGTTCATGGCACCCCAAAGCAATTACAATGGTAACATCAAAGACCACCGATCAGGACTTCCCTGGTGATGCAGTGCATAGGAATTTGCCTGCCAGTGCAGGAGACGTGGGTTTGATCCCTAGTCCGGGAAGATTCCACATGCTGCAGAGCAGCTAAGCCCGTGCTGCAACTACTGAGCCTGGTCACCTAGAGCCTGTGCTCCACAACAGGAGCGGCCCCCGCAGGCACAATGAACAGTAGCCCTCTGCTCGCTGCAACTAGGGAAAGCCTGCGCAGCAACGAAGACCCAGGTAACCATCAATCCATCAATCAATTTCTATATAAAAAAGATCACAGATCACAACAATAATATAATAACAATTTAGAAGTCTGAGATTTCTCATGGTGGTCCAGTGGTTAAGGACAGTGGAGGACAGGAAAGCCTGGCATGCTGCAGTCCATGAGGTCGCAGAGTCAGACACGACTGAGCAACTGAACAGCAACCAGTGGTTAAGATGCTGCGCTTCCAATGCAGGGGTTGCAGATCGGATCCCTGGTTGGGGAACTAGGATCTCACATGCTGCTCGGTGCAGCCAAAAACTAAATACATTAATTTTTTTTAAAAAAATGTCTGAGATATTCTGAGATTTACTGATATCAAAATGTGACACAGATAGGAAGTGAATGAATGCTGTTGGAAATATACCAACAAACCTGCTTGATACATAATTGCCACAAAGCTTCAATTTATAAAAAACACTATCTGCAAGGTGCAATAAAATCAGGTATGCCCCTATATATGAAGTATAAAACCAGATGAAACTAATCTAAGTGGTATAAGTAAGATGAGTGATCACTTTCAGGAGGCTACTGATTTCAAGGGAGCCTAGAGAGTGTCTTCTAGGAGGTGTTGGTAATTCTTGATGTTTTGCTTTGGACAGTGATTACTTGAGTATACACAACTAAAAATTCATTGAGCTGCACACTTCACTATCTGTATGCCAACCTTTAATTAATATAAAGATTAAAAAAAAGCTACCTTATTACTCATAAGAATTTTGATAATCCAAGAAGTCTTTTTCTACTCAAGATATATTCTTTAAAGGTTGATCAGGTATATGCATCAATAAATTGCCACTGGCACATTATCCAATTGATAAGGCATTTATAGTTTTAATTTGTCCTATGAGAAAAATGATAAGGAAGCTGAGTTGCCAATCATTCCACTTGCAATTCAGCAGTCTATGTTTAAATGTATAAATTGTAAATCACTACTTCCAATTGAAAACAGTAAGTGCTACTGTTTATTGCAGTTTACCTGAGTTTGATGACTCATTTGTGATCACACTTTATTCCTCATTTTCAACAACTTTATAAGTTATCTTTTTGACTATAAGAATTAAGGTACAAATGTGTACCTAATTCACTGCATATCCATTAAAGCTGTGAGATAATGAAAAGAAAAAAACATGATTTCCTACATTGGACTCAGTATTGTTCCTCTCATTAAGTATATTAATTCAGGTCAGATCATAATAAATATCCTTCTAAAGGAACAGAGCAAATAAGAATGAACTTTCTGAGTGTAATTTAATTGGATATACTAGTGAAATGACAGAATCAAAACTTCAAAACTCTTGATTTCTAGTGATTTAGGAGATGTACTAGAATTACATCTTTGATGTATGAAACATTAATATTATTACTACTTTTTAAATTGAAGTATAGTTGATTTATAATGTTTGTTAGTTTCTGGTATATAACAAAGTGATTCGGTTACATATTCTTTTTCAGATTCTTTTCCATTATAGTTTATTATAAGATACTGAATATAGTTTCCTGTTCTATACAGTTAAGACCTTGTTGTTTACCTATTTTATATATAGTAGTCGGTATCGGCTAATCCTAAACTCCTAACTTGTCCCCCCCAACCACCACCTTTTCCCTCTTGGTAACCATAATTTTGTTTTTTATGTCTGTGAAACATTATCATTAAACAGTTAGGTAATGAGATTCTTAACTTTGTGCAAGCTCTAACAATTAAAAGATCTTCCTTTAAAATTCACCATGAGACCAAATAAAATAGCTAAATAACCTACCAATCTGTAAGCCTAGCTTTTTGTTGTTGCTTAGTTGCCAAGTTGTGTCCAACTCTTTACAACCCCATTGACCACAGCACAGCAGGTCTCCCTGTCCCTCACCATCTCCCGGAGCTTGCCCAAGTTCATGTCCATTAATCGGTAATGCCATCCAGCTATCTCATTCTCTTGTTACCCTCTTCTCCTTCTGCCTTCAATCTTTCCTAGCATCAGGGTTTTTTCCAATGAGTTGGCTGTTTGCATCAGGTGGCCAAAGTATTGGAACTTCAGCTTCAGCATCAGTACTTCCAATGAGTACTGAGGGTTGATTTAAGATTGACTGGTTTAAAAAAAAAAAAAAAAAGATTGACTGGTTTGATCTCCTTGCTGTCCACGGGACTCTCAAGAGTCTTCTCCAGCACCACAGTTTGAAAGCATCAATTCTTCAACCTTCCTTATGGTCCAGCTCTCATGTTCATATATGACTACTGTAAAGACCATGGCCTTGACTATATGGACCCTTATCAGCAAAGGGATATCTTTGCTTTTTAACACACTGTCTACGTTTGGCATAGCTTTCCTGCCAAGAAGCAACCATCTTCTAATTTCATGGCTGCAGGCACTATCTGCACTGATTTTAGAGCTCAAGAAGAGGAAATCTGGCACTGCTTCCACATTTTCCTCTTCTGTTTGCCATGAACTGATGGGACTGGATGCCATGATCTCAGATTTTTAATACTGAGTTTTAAGCCGGCTTTTTCAGTCTCTTCCTTCACCCTCATCAAGAGGCTCTTTAGTTCCTCTTTGCTTTCTGCCATTAGAGTGGTATCATCCGCATATCTGAGGTTGTCATTTCTCCCAGCAATCTTCATTCCAGTTTGTAACTCATCCAGCCTGGCATTTTGCATGATGTGCTCTGCAAGTAAGTTAAATAAACAGGGTGACAATAAACAGTTTTTCTGTACTCCTTTCTCAATCCCCAACCAGTCATTTGTTCCATACAAGAATCTGTTACTTCTTGATCTGCATACAGGTTTCTCAGCAGACAGGTTAGATGGTCTGTTCCCATCTCTTTAAGCATTTCCCACAGTTTATTGTGATCCACACTGTCAGAGGCTTTAGTGTAGTCTATGAAACAGGTAGATATTTTTCTTGAATTCCCTTGCTTTCTCTATGATCCAGCAAATGTTGGCAATTTGATCTCTGAGGTTCCTCTGCCTTTTCTAAACCCAGCTTGAACATCTGGAAGCTCTCAGTTCACGTACTGCTGAAGCCTAGCTTGAAGGATTTTGAGTTTAACCTTACTAGCATGGGAGATGAGTGCAATTTTACAATAGTTTGAACATTCTTTAGTATTGCCCTTGGGAATTGGGATGAGGATTGACCTATTCCAGTCCTGTGGCCACTGCTGGGTTTCCCAAACTTCCTGACATACTGAGTGCAGCACTTTTATAGCATCATCTTTTAGGATTTTACACAGCTCTGCTTTGCACTGGCTTTATTGACAGCAGTGCTTCCTGAGGCCCACGTGACTTCACACTCCAGGGTATCTGGCTCGAGGTGAGTGGCCACACCATCGTGGTTAACAGGGTCATTAAGATCTCTTCTGTACAGTTCTTCTGTGTGTTCCCGTCATCTCCTCTCGATCCCTTATGCTTCCATGAGGTCTTTCCATTTCTGTCCTTTAGTGTGCCCGTGTCCATCTTCGGATGAAATGCTACTTTGATTTTCCAGTTTTCTTGACGAGATCTTTAATCGTTCCCTTCTGTTGTTTTCCTCTATTTCTGTGCACTGTTCATTGAAAAAGGCCTTCTTGCCTCTGCTGTTCTCTGGAACTCTGCATTTAGTTGGGTGTAACTGCCCCTTTCTCCCTTGCATTTTTGCTTCTCTTCTTTCCTCTGTTATACACACCACTTTGCCTTCTTACATTTCTTTTTCTCTGGGATGGTTTTGTTTGCTGCCTCCTGTACATTACGAACTTCTGTCCACAGTTCTTCAGGCACTGTTTACGAGATCTGATCCCCTGAATAAAGCCATGAGGCATGCCGTGCAGGGCCACCCGAGATAGGTCATACTGGAGAGTTGTGACAAGATGTGATCCACTGAAGGAGGGATGGCAAACCCCTTCTGTATACCTGCTGTGAGAACCCCACGAACAGTGTAAAAAGCCTAGCTTAATGCCATTATAGTCAGTGACTCAAAATGCAGCAGTTTCATAATAAAAATTTACTAACCTACCGAAATAAAGTCTAGTTACAGTTGAAGCACCGAGACAAAAGGAAACTAACTACAGTACAGTGCCGTCAGCTCTCACAAACGCTTACCCGCGTGAGTCCCAGCTGCTCTGTTTTCTGTTTCTTTCTTGGTCGATTTGTGGATTCTTCCATTTCATCTTCTTCATCTGTAGGAACTATATCATAGAGAAGTAGATATGATAAGTTTAAAATTTAAAGTAAATATTAATTACAAACAATCTCAAAGGATTCTTATGTTTCTGGGTATATACTTCATGTTATCTCAACTGGTTAGGAATGAATATTTTTCTTTATTTTGGTTCATGGAAAATCCTATCTAAAAACAATACATGGGTTACCAATCATCCAAAAGGAGAAAGCAAAAAATAAAGTACATTAAAATCCTAAAACCTAACCAGTTTGGTATCTTATAAAGATTATCATTATGGACCTTCATCACTTTACCAGATCTATGAACAGTTGCTTACTACTTTAGTTGTAGAAGAGTTTTGACAAGAGTGTATTTATATTATAAAGGGAATGACATGGTAAATAAACACGTTGAAAGGACATACATTCCAGCCATCTTTATTTTTCTTGACTATTTCACTTTTATTTTTACTGCATTTAAAAAAATTAAATTTTATTTATTTATTTTTGGCTGTGCTGGGTCTTCACTGCTGCATGGGCTTTTCTCTAGTTGCAGCGAGCAGGGGCTCCTCTCTGGTTGCAGTGTGTGGGCTCTAGGGTGTGCGGGCTTCATGAGGTGCAGCTACTGGGCTCTAGAACACGGGCTCAGTAGTTGTGATGCACGGGCTTAGTTGTTCTGCGGCATGTGGAATCTTCCCAGATCAGGGATCGAACCCATGTGTCTCCTGCATTGGCAGGCGGATTCTTCACCACGGAGTCATCTGGGAAGACCTATTTCACTTTTCTATCAATAAGTTAAAAGTGTTTCATAGATAGCTTTTTTTTTTTTTTAAAAAACTAAAAACTTTGTTATCCACCATTTGGCTAGGTAGCAAACCCAGATAAACAAACCATAGAGTTTAGTGTTTTCTAACTGTTCATAAATGTCGTGCTTTTCCCAAAATGACTACAAGCATCTTAAGGGTAACAACTATTCATATATATGTCATCTACCCAGCACTATCAAAAAGTATTTCACAAAAGGAAAAATTCCTCCATAAACATTCTGCCTCAAAACTGCTTGCTTTAATGAATTTTGGGGAAAAATTCAACTAAAATGGGTTTGTATTTCCTGCCATCTTACATATTATTATTTAAAACTGTTTAGGCTTTTCTTGATTATCTTCCCCTCCCCAACTCTACTTTGTGAACTCAATTTAGGGTGGTGATGGCAGTTTAGTCTCCAAGTCGTGTCTGACTCTTGCGACCCCATGGACTGTAGCCCACCAGGCTCCTCTGTCCATGGGATTCTCCAGGCAAGGATACTGGAGTGGGTTGCCATTTCCTTCTCCAGGGCATCTTCCTGACCCAGGAATCGAACCCAGGTCTCCTTCACTGCAGGAAGATTCTTTACCAACTGAGCTATGAGGGAAGTTGTACAGTAGTAATAGAGCAATTTCCTCAAAAGTTAGCAGAGGTATTCTGTTAACCTGTGCAATAAAGAGTTCTGTACTATTCTTTAAAACATATGTGGGTTTTTTCCCTTCTTTTCTTCTAAAAGTGTCTTCTTACTATTATCAAGGAACGTTGCTCTATGAGTCCCCCTTTCTCGTCTAATTGTTCCTTCTAATCTATGTTTTCAAAGTAAGAAAGTTTAGTAAAATTGTATTAAAAAAATGAAACTAGGCCACCTTAACTAAGAAATTTCTCTAATACTAAAGTATCAATATGACTCAGAAGGTTAGTTATTTCCAGGTTTCTGAATAAGGGAACTCTGAGAACCGAAGCAGTTACGTCCCACTGCATCAACTGTGTTACTGATACTTGCAGGGATTCAGTGACACTGCCCAATAAATAAGGGAGTGGTGGGGCAGACAGAAATTAACAATTTTTCTCTCTACTATAGTACTTTGTTTTGGGCTTCTCAGGTAGCAATAGTGGTAAACAACCCACCTGCCGATGCAGGAGATGAAAGAGACTTGGGTTTGATCCCTGGGTCAGGAAGATACCCTGCAGGAGGGCATGACAACCCACTCCAGTATTCTTGCCTGGAAAATCCCATTTGGATTCTGGTGGGCTACAGTCCATAGGGTGCAGAGTCGGACACGACTGAAGCGACTCAGCATGCATATAGTACTTTGTGACCCAAAAAGCCATGGTCCAATTTTTGTGGCAAATTATGGGCTAAAAAGTCATTTTTTTACATTGTAATTCTTAAAATACCACTAATAAGTGAAAGTAGAAGAAATATTTCATTTACCTGTAGACCAAATCTTTAGCATCTTATCCCAGGAGCCACTGCAAAACTGAGAAGATATGTATGAAGGGAAAAACAGGATGAAATATAATCCATCGTATGATTTGCCTTTTTTCCTCCTGCTATTTAACTGAAACGTTTACTCTGCCATGAAATCCTTACTACTGTGGCATTGTCTTTCTGCTTGTCTTCCTAATCTCTGGGAAGCTGTACTCTCAGTCTCACAGCAGTTGAAAGAACTGCCATTCTTACGGGGCCTGTAACCTGGTCACGGTGCTTAGATCAGGGTGGGCAACTGACCTACGCTGTGCCAGTGAGTCTTTCCCTCCTTCAGAGCCTTTTCTGGGAAAACTTGTGTTCCAGAGAGTTGAGGTTATTCATTCCCCAGAGACAGACAGTACAGCGTGTGAAACCTGGGAATAGTGAAGGCTAGGTTTTACTGCCATGTAGGGAAAGCCAGTGTGAGGTGAGAAAATGAAGTCAATATGGGGAGACAAGAGAAGGAGGAGGTGTGCCCCATGTAAGCCTCTACTCCACTGGTTCGAAAACGATCATCACCCTGCTCACGATGTGATTCATCACTCCCTCCTTGGATCTTTTAAGCTAAAAAATTTCAGGATGCGTTTCTGTCTCTTATAGCCAAGAGACAGGGAACAGTTAATTCACTTAAACTTGGACTCAACAACATGTAAACCTCATTATGGCTCAGAATGAATACACATCAATCTTTGAATGCAGAAATGTCATCTATTATGCTAACTGGCAAAGAACTATTGAAGAAACAGTCTTAAATCTAGAATACTACATTGTGGTTTGGAGAATTTTCAGATGAAGAGTTTATAACCCCTCTTAAGTAAAAACTGTGTTGCCCTCATGGTTTGTTTTAACTTTTACTGTTCTGTCATGATACAGAGTAGATCGGCAATAATTGTAAAACAGCCTCAATTAACGCCAGCTTCAGTGTATGCCAAGTCTTAGGTGGTCAGCTAGACATTTTCAACTGATGACAGCACTATGAGCAGTTAAAGGACTGCAAATGGCAATCACTGATTTCAGAAGGTTACACAAAGAAATTACTTGGTTACCTGAGTTCTTAAAATCTTTGCAGTTTATGTAGGCCGATCAGAGTGACTTTACGTAGACAAGAACTTACGCGCACAAGAATCTCAAATTCTCACTGAACACAGCACCAACCCAGTGGCTCCTTACTTTGGTCCCCGTGCTGTCCACCGCGATGGACTCCACGCTGCCCGCGTGGCCGCGGCAGCAGTGCAAGGCCTTCGCCTTGTTCCTCTCTGCGTGCCACTCCCACAGGAGGATTGTCTGGTCCAGGGAGGCGCTCAGCAGCAGGCAAGACAAGCCGTCTTCAGAGAGGAGGACACGGGACACAGTTTAGTACAAAAACTTTACAGTGTTCTGAAACTGAACAACCAAGTTTTTTGTGGTTGTTGAGAAAGATGTTAAAAAGGTAAAAGACCTCATATAGCCACCTTTGAAAAAAAGCTAGCTTATGGTAAGAAGGGAAGATTCTTCAAAAATACTATAGGGACTTCCTTGCTGGTCCAGTGTGTTAAAACCCTGCAGTTCCACTATAGGGAGTGCAGGTTTGATCCCTGGTCAGGGAACTAAGATCCTGCATGCCATGTGGTGCAGGCAAAAAAAAAACCCAAAAAAACTATTAAAAAAGATACGCATTTAACATACTCACTATTACCTTGAAAATGTATATTATGAGACATAATTTTAGGATTCACTTCTACTGATTCATGGATTTTTTAAAAATATATCTTTTCTTAAACACTGGGTATTTGAAAGTCCCATAATAACTAAGGCATGAGACATTTCCTATCCTGTCCCAATTCTGCCCAGCATTGAAAATGGCTTATTTCCAATTCCCTATCTAGGATTCCTCTCAGTTTAGGCAAAGAGTCCTAACCTTTCTTCACCCAGGCCACATCTTTTACAACATCTGTATGTCCCACAATTGTCATTATTGATTTTCCTTCCAAGGACCAGATCCGAGAAGTCTTATCATAAGAACCAGTCAAGATCCTATGAGGAGAAAAAGAAAAATTCCTATGAAATAGAAAAAACACCTATTTCAAACCCTGAAATCAATTTTATTTCTAAAGCAATGATAAAGGAAACCTTGCAGATTATATTTTCTAACCTTTAATATAAAGATTAAGACTTCAAAACACACTAGAATAAATCAGATGTTACATTTAGTTTTTCCTCACCTCCTAAAAATAAAACATAATCAACAAGCCATAAATTTGATTTTACTGTTACTGTAAAATACTACCACTCCCAGGGAAGCTAAGCAAATTGTTTGAAAAGCCTAATAGTTCTTTGTGTTTAACCAGTGAAAACCATTAAACAGAAAACCAGTAGAACCATTTAAAGTAAAAAGTAAAACCAATAAAAACATAACTATGTAATAACTCCGGGCAGACATTCATTGAATGCAAACTCCTACTACGATCCATTCTTGATGTGTTTTTCTACAAGTAAGCCCAGTAGGGTTTTGCTCTAAACCATTCACACCTTCTGATTCCAATCTGCTCTTTTCAGCCCTAAAATAGCATGACCTGCATCTTCAGGGTAGAAGGTTAGGAGATCTGTGGCTAGAAAAGGTTTTTTTTCCCCTCTATGAAACAAATTATATTCTTAGTCTTAAAAGCAACATAATCAAATAAATGCCCTAAGAGACACAACCTATTTGGAAGATAAATGTCACTATGACATCTTGAGACAGAAAAGAAACCTATTAATAGGTATGTTTCTTCTTGACTATATTAAACTTATTAAAGGTCTTTGGCATGGTGACGAGATATATATGTGTGTGTGTGTGTGTGTGTGTGTGTGTGTGTGTGTATAATTAAATTACTTTCACAAAGAACAGGCAATCAGAAAAATATTCACATGTTACATTTAAAATAGATACAAGAACATTCATCTGGCAATACCATTCCTCTGTCCCTTCGATCGCACTGATCCAGTCGTCATGGAACATGCACTGCTCTGGCTGAGGGGCAGTGTACTTCTCCACGTACTCTAGTTCCACAACTTCTTCCTAGTCACAGAGAAAAAGCAGAAATCCATCAGGTGGTGCAGTTTTAAAATAGTACATTATGAAAATAAAGGAGCCCCAGATTAATTTATCTCCTTCATATAATTCTTCTTCCACAGCCAAAAATTTTGGAGCCATACAGAAAGTGAAAAACTTTATTTGACCTAACAGTATAATATTAATGATCTTGGAAAACTTATGCTTAAAGTGGAAAAAAAGAATACAAGAAACTATAAAATCATAAAAGCATACAATTTAATGGATACAGAACTTCTCTTTAAGATGATGAAAAAATTCTGGAAATGGACAATGGTGATGGTTGCATAGTACTGGGAATGTACTTAATGAATTGTACACTTAAAAATGGTTAAAAGATACATTTTATGTATATGTTACTATAGTTTCAAAAATTGCCCCCTTAATTATAAAAGCAACTATAAATTATATTTTAAATTATAAAAGCAATAATAAGGTAAGTTTGACAATTAGAGGAAGAGGGCAATCACTAAAAATCACATAAACCCAACCCACAAGCTTATATATATGCACAATCATTTTATACACCTTTACTAGTAGTAAACATATTTGCTTGATATGTTTCTTGGTAACTTCACAAACATGAAGTTATCTTTCCATATTCATTTATCTGCATTCTTTGAATAATTTTCTTCTCTTAGAAGAAAAGAGGGGATTTAAAAATTGAACATACAGAAACCGAGGTTCAAATTTTTAGGAAAAAATAATAATCAAAAGGCTCTTGATTGCTGTAGATTCAGGTTGATTCTAAATGGAGTTTTCCTACATTATCTGGTAATACCTTCAGTAAAACAGAACAGGTAAACATTTGAACTTACTGATGAGATGTTTTCCAGTTCCATGTGTTTGAACAAGGGCATTCGTAGAAACTGGCCCTTGATGAGGAAATCAAACTCCACATGTTTGTGGAACTCTACAGAAAATACGTAATAAAATTATAGTATTAGGACCTGAAGTGGTATTGGCAGACATAAATGAGAGACCCCAAAACAAACAGGTACCTGTAATCCCAGTGCAAGTTTCCCTAGACTTTCCCCATGGCACAACAGGACCACGTATTCCAGTATGTGATTTTAAAGAACAGAAATACTTTGCTCTGTTGGTATTATTATTTTTACTGTGGATAGTATAACCATTTTGAGTAAAGTAAACCTTTGTATTCTATGAAAAATCCAAAAATACACAAAAGTAGAAATAACATAATGAATCCTCATTTGAATCTTTTGCCAACTCATGGACAATCACCTATACTTCTCCCCCTACTCTCCTGCTGATTTATTTAAAACCAAAACTCAGAAATGATATAATTCCAACTATAAATGCTTCAGTATGTATCTCTAAAATATAAACTTTTAAAAAGGCACAGTGTTAAATATTTTAAATTATTTATCTTAATATAATAAAGCCAGACAATGTTCACATTTCCTTGTTTTCTAAGTGTCTTTTTACAGTGAGTTTTTTTAGAATTGGCATCCAAAGTCCTCATATTATATTTGATTAATATCTTTAACAGTTCTCCACCCTTCTTTTCCTCTGCCGTTTATTTACTGAGGAAATTGGGTCTAATACTCACATTCTGGCTTTGGTTGTTTATATCTCCAAGGTATCCCTTAACATGTTCCTCTACCACCTACCTACAACCTGTACATTCAGTTCAGTTGGTTGGTCATAACTTTCCTTCCAAGGAGTAAGCGTCTTTTAATTTCATGGCTGCAGTCACCATCTGCAGTGATTTTGTACAGTAGGCAGACCTAAATGCCTGATTAGACTTTGAGTTTACTTTTGGCAAAATATTTACACACATTATTGTTTCCTATTGTATCACATTAGGAAGCACGCGGGGGCTTCCCAGGTGGTGCAAGTAGTAAAAGTAAAGAACCTGCCTGCCAATGCAGGAGACATAAGAGACACGGGTTCGATTCCTGGGTTGGGAAGATTCCTTGGAGGAGGGCATGGCAACCCACTCCAGTATTCTTGTCTGGAGAATCCCACAGACAAAGGAGTCTGGCAGTCTAAATCCATAGGGTCACAAAGAGTCAGACACGACTGAAGCATCTTTGCACATATGCATGAAGCGTGCTACCTCACTGTGTCTCTTTTTACAGTATTAAATTTCTCTCAGTTCAGAGGATGTCAGTCTGTTCCCATCTATCACAATGTTCTTTGTTAGCCTTTGACCTAATAAATGGCTTTAGTTGAGACTGATGATCAATTCTTAAATCCATCACTTCATTTGGAGTTATGAAATGCTAAAAATTCTTCATTCTATCTGATTTATTAGCTATATTCTTTTTTAAAGAATTCCGTCTCTCTGTCTTGTTACTTCTAAAAAATCTGTATCACAGAATTAGAGAACAAACCTATGCTTAACGGGGGGAAGGGATAGTTAGGGACTTTGGCATGGACGTGTACACACTGCTATGTTTAAAATGGATAACCAACAAGGAAATACTGTATAGCACACGGAACTCTGCTCAATGTTACCAGGCAGTGTGGATGAGAGGGGTGTTTGTGGGAGAATGGACACATGTATATGTGCAGCTGAGTCTCTATGCGGTTTCCCTAAAACTATCACAATGTTGTTAATTGGCTATACCCCACTACAAAATAAAGTTTTAAAAAAAATCTGAATTATTTGCATCTTCAACTCAAAAGCAATTACTCAGTTATTCGATTTATAAAAAAAGATACATGAATGTTCATCTACAATTTAGAAAACTATGCAAATATTTGCTTGCATGCTCAGTTGTGTCCAGCTTTCACTTGGGTAACAACAAAGAACCATGTACTAGGATTGCAAAGCATCTGTTGCAAGAAAATAATTCTTATCCTAGTTCGAAAGAGTTTTTCAGCAAGTAGGATATATGACATCTTTGAAATGTAGAAAACTATGCATCAGAATCTCTATATTATATCCATGATGAAGACGATAGGAAATGCTATACGACTATCTCTCTATCAAGAACTTTTACCCTAAAAATCTTTATTTCTAAATCTCAACCATCTTCTCTCCATATTGCCTTAAAGCAGATTAAACTGATTTTTTTCCCTAAAAACATATTTCAAAGCATTTTTCAAAGTATCATGTAGGAGGGAAATTACATGTTATAATTTATACATTTTGCCATTATAAGATGCATGCAGTAGTATAGGACAATGCCCCCAAAGGGCTATAAATAACAATGTGATGCACTTTAGTCATTTTGCCCTCCCCTAACTTTTCAGGGTATATACCTACCATTTTTGGCCTCCAACAATTTATTGATGATGTTACTAAGGTCAGCAATTTCAGAGGCTGCAGGTATGGAGAAGGGAACATCATCTACCGCATATCTACAAAAAGGAAATGATACATCAAATCAAGTCTACAACTATTTTAACAAATATGCATTTATTCATTCAACAAACATTTACTGGGTATCTAATACATGCCAGACATTTTGCTACATGGGGTTAGCAAAAAATGGATTAACCTGTGGTCTCTATACTTGAAAAGGGTTTATGTCTGGTAAACAAATACAAGGAAACTGTGTAAGAACAATGTCATAGTAATACATAAAATGAGAGAATAAGGAAGCAGTAGGGTATTTCAAGCAGAGAAAAGGATAAGAGAGCAGACTATGAAAGGATGCATTAAAAAAAAAAAAAAAAACCACTCTTACACTACACCTATAAAAATGAGTTTTCCCTGGGTGACATGGGGGAAGACAGAAGGGGTGCAAAAAAGCAGCATACACACATAAAAAAGCTAAGTTATTAAACTGCCCAACCAACCTATTCCAAAGTGTCATTTTACTCAACAGTGACCAAGGGTAAGGCTAAAGAGATGGGCGTGGAGTGGCTTGGCTGCTGTGTGCAGCACTTCTGACTTCTTTCCTTAGGCAATGAGGAACCACTGTCTAAAGCAAATAACATCATCAAAATTTTGTTTAGTTAGATCTCTCTTGGGCAGCACTGCAGTGACTAGATTAGAGGCACCCACAGCAGAAGGCAGATCAGAAACTCTTGTAAGAGAGAATGGGACAAAATTCTTGCAAATCACATATCTGACAAGGAACATGCATCTGGAACATATAAAGAACATTTATAACTCAATAATAAAGACAATCCTATTTTTAAACTGGGCAAAGGATCAAAATAGATATTTCTCCAGAGAAGACATACAAATGACCAACAGGCACATGGAAAGTTGTTGAGCACTGTTAGTCATCAAGGAAATGCGAATCAAACTGCAAGGCGTTATCCCTCCATACCCACCAGGATGTTTACAATAAGAAAGACAGATATTAAGTGTTGGTGAGTAAATGGAGAAATTAAACACTTATTCATTGCTGGCAGGAATGTAAAATGGTACAGTTGCTTTGAAAAAATCTGGCAGTTCCTCAAAATATTAAACATGGAATTATCACTTGACTCGGCAACTCCATTCCTAAGTACATACCCAAGAGAAATAAACACGTTACGTTCACACAAAAACTTGTGCACAAATAGTTCGCATTACCACTATTTTTAATAGACCCAATATGCGAAAACAGCTTAAAAGTCCATCAACTGAACAATGAAAACAAAATGCGGTCTACCCACAGAGTGGAGTATTATTCAGCAGTAAAAAGGAAAGAAGTGCAACATGGACAAACCTTGAGAAATACCATACTTAAGTGAAAGAAGCCAACCACAAAGGGCCACGTATTATATCATTCCATTTATATGAAATGTTAGAGACAAAAATTAAATGTGACTGCTCTGGGTTGGCCTACTTGGAAGTTTCTGGAAGGGCGGGAGAAAAGGGTAACAGCAAAAAATGTTCTAAAATTTTCTGTGGCGATAGTTGCACAATTCTACAAATATACTCAAAATTAGTGAATTGAACACGTCAAATGTGTGACATCTACTATACATGAATTACATCTTAATAAATTTGTTACAAAAACCAAAACCCAAAAAAATCTCCATAAGGTCTGAATTACGGCTTTATTTGTGCAGAATGTAAAAGAGGTTTAGGTAGAACTTACAGGGTTCATCAAGTAATAAATCTCTTTCTGCAGCAAAGGGAGTGGGGGGAAGAGACTTCAAATCTTGTTAATGTAGATTCTAAATCAGTAGATCTGAGGTATGGTCTGAGATTGTGCTTTTGCTAACCAGCTCCTAAGTGATGCTGGCCTTCAAACTATACTTTTTTGAGTAGTAAGGCTATGGTTATATATTTATCATGTCAAAAAAAGTAAGGACTTATTTAGTTTCTCCAAAAGGTAACAAAACCTAGAAATTGAAAGTTTTGGTTTACTGTTTCGGTCAGTAAGATGGGGGTGGGNCTGCAGTCACCATCTGCAGTGATTTTGGAGCCCAAAAAAATAAAGTCTGCCATTGTTTCCACTGTTTCCCCTTCTACTTGCCATGAAGTGATGGCAAATCTTAGAAAACTAAGAGCATGGCATCCGGTCCCATCACTTCATGGCAAATTATATGCATATCTGAGAATAAATCTACCTTCCCCCTTCATTTTACTGATCAGAACATAGTATATCAAAGGGAGAAGAAAGAAGTTTAATTTCTAGATTTTGTTAACTTTTGGGAAAATCTAAATATATAAACAAACACATATACACACATTTGGCATTTATCCATTTATCACAGCAACTTAAATATAGTTCCAGTTGCTCTAGTATTTCTTAAAACTTCGTGTGAATCAACAATAATCTCCATAAACCTTTTAATTAGAAAAATACAGCAGTCATGCTATTGCATCACCATATTCCTTTAGAACTATTTAGACTAAGTATATATACTCATTTGTATTGATAAGACAATTCATATATGCTGTATGCAACAGTACAAGAGGTGTGAGGTCAATTCATAAAACTACAAACAATCAAAAATGTAATCTTAATTGATGTGGGAGTTTTTTAGCTTTTAGCTGACATTAACTTGTTAATACAGCTTATATTTAATATTTATCATCAGTACCAGAAAAAGTAGACAAACATCTGTTGACTGAATCAATCCAATTAGCATAACGTAGTCTCTACCATCAGGAGACTTACAATATAGCTTCAGCTATACTGTAGCTAGGCAAACAAAAAGAAAAATTATTAGTGTAATATATGTCACAAAGCAGAATATAATTAGGTTTCAAACGATTGCTATGTAGCTGGGGACCATTTGTAAAACTGGTAAAGTGTTCAAATACATATACGTATACACATACAGGTATGTATACATACATATATAACATGCATATGTATATGTGTGGATATATGTAAAACATATATGTAATTTATATATATGTATATATATATAAATACTCAAAATTATAACTGAATTGACCTGACACTCTTATCAAAAATCAGTTCTACCAACTCCCTATTGGGAGCTCCACATTCTAGCCTGGTTTAGAAAAACATCATCTATCACCTACTTAAGAAAAATGAAGTTCATGTTTTCAGACACCACCACTAGCCGCCAGGCTCTAACGATTTGGTCCGTTGTTCACTGTTCAGTTGCGTAATGCACTTCATTCAGGAAGCAAATCTGAAACCCTTCAGCTCTCTCTACCCTTACAATTCAAATTATATACAGCCTGAGAAGCTAGGCAGGAACGACGGGTGATTCTTAAGTCCTCGCAAGGTACCGCAGAAAACGCGCTTAAGCGACGAATCCAGTCAAAAAGGAAACAAGTAAATTGACGGCAAAGACAACCAGGGATGCACAAGGTCACACGGAAGAGGTCCTACGAACGAATTCCGGGGGCCCGGGGCGGGGGAGGGAAGGAAGGGAGAGACAGGGAGTACGCTCACTTACTTCTTGTTGTCAGTGAAGAAGCGTGTCTGGAGCTGAGCCATGGCGTACCTAGACAAACGTATGGGTACCAGTCAGACAATCCGCACTCTGGTCTTTCAGGACTACAAAAACAGGGATCTCAAAATGAGGCTGCACGTGTCAGAGAAAACATGCAGTCGATCCCAGGGCTTCCGCTTTCTTTCCCCGGGCCTCAGCCAGAAGGCACCACGAGGCTGCCCCTCCTCAAGATCCAGCCCATAAACATCAACTACCTATTCCTAGAGTAGGAGTCATCGATTAGTGAGGCATAGTTTTAAAGGCGACGCGTCTCTTTCAATTTTTAAAAAATATATATATATTTAGGCTTGCGATCGATTATGGAGATAGAGGCCCGTTTCAAACCGACTTCTCTCCGTTTGAAATGTTAACATGCTATCCTTAGTCGCGATAATTCAAACATACTCCTAGATACTACAACTCCCAGAAAGCAGCGCTTCTCAGATGATGTAGCCACTGGGAATTGTAGTCTTTTTTTACCACGCTGACCTCAGGCTATCTTCTTTGCTTGAAACCTTCCCGACTCCAGGCAACGACCTATTATATTTCCTCGGCCTTCAGCTTTAATTTGCTAAAGTCCTTCCGGGTTTAATTTCTCAAGCATACTCCCAATCAAGACTCTTAGTCTCCCGAGATTTCTCTAAGGCTCTAGCTACTAGCCTCAGGCTTNCCCCGGGCCCGGGACAGGCGGCTGGCGGAGGTGCAGGTTCGGTGTCGTGAGGAGGGCTGCCCAGCCCGAGGACGCACTGGCCCGGAGCAGGAGGACTGGACCCCTGGGCGGGAGCGCCCACTGTGTGGTCCTTCCGTCCCGCTTTTCAGGGTTCTTTTTCTCTTTATGAGATCCTTTATACCTTCCTTAGGTCGCTCAGAGGGTAAAGCGTCTGCCTGCAATGCGGGAGACCCAGGTTCAAGCCCTGGGTTGGGAAGATCCCGTGGAGAAGGAAATGGCAACCCACTCCACTACGCTTGCCTGGAAAATTCCATGGACCGAGGAGTCCATGGGATCGCAGAGGGTCGGACAAGACTCAGCGACTTGACTTTCACTTTTACATTTTTACCATCCTCATGGAAGGCGAAAGGTGTCCTCCCACACCTTCTCCTTGCGTTTTCTTCTTTTTTTTGGTTGGTGTTGTTTTTTACTTTTTTTGGTCTTGACATTACCCAGAGGCCTATATCTTATTTTCAAACGGTCTGGAGAACTATTCTAATGGAATGTAGTTGTTTTTCTGAGGGAGGATGGATGGAGAGATACTATCACGCTCTCACAGTCGCTTTTTAAGGCGTTCACCAGAAAAGCTTCAAGAGGGAGGCTTAAAGAGACAGCATTTTAGAGTAAGGCACAAGTGGATTGCAAGATTGTGGGCAAAGCGGCCTGTGTGCAGGTGTAGACAAATTAAGCGTTCCTCTGTTACATTGCTTAAAGAGGTACTACAAAAGACATATGATGTTTAAGTCAACCACAGACTATGAGAAGGAATTTGAGCAATTATAAGCGAAAAATAATCTGTTAATAGAGCGCAGTGATAATGAAACTAGGAGTATTTTCGGTTTACTCACCTTCCTAGAATGCGGGCTGTGGAACCTGAAGGCCTGGGTTCTAATCCTGCCTCAGCTTCTTATTTATTAATCTCTCTGTGCCACATCTTGGTCAGCAGTGAGATTAAGTGCCTCATAGTAGATGTCAACTATTCCATGGTTGTCCTTTATGTATTAGTTTAACTAGGAGCTCTGCCGATGTGAACAACTTAAGAAAGACTAGCTTCATGGTTAGAGGGGAATAAGAAGAGAAAACCTTTGTGCTAATGGGTCTAGGAAAGGACTGGGCTTGCAGATAGAAGCGGTGGCCAGGTAACCACGTGATTCATTGTCATTGTGAGGGTTGTATGCATTATCGAGACTACCTGAAACTTGAAACTGTCAATTGAAGTCTTGCTACCCAATCCATAGTTTTGAATTTGGTAGAAGTAAAAAGAAATTTGACAGTTTCAAACACCATTTGCCTTTAATCATAAGTGATTCTTTAGTTACAGTAGTAAAATTGTCTGAATTTAAAATCAGAACCTGAAATAAATCTTACAGATTTTTCAGATAATTTTTAGTTGATAATATATTATTTGTTAAAATACAGCTTTAAATGTGTAATCGGGTTAATTCATTTTTTAGCTATCATTGATTTGAAATTTATCAAAATAAGAAAATACTATTGTGATACTCAATACAGGTTCATCCTAATTTGAATGAAACGTTTTTCTATGATAAGTAAGATACAGAACCTAATTATGTGCTTAATAAGATAAAACTTCAACTTGCAAAGTAGAATGTTGAATTAACTAAAATACACTTTTCATTTGACTGAGACCTTTAGTTATGGGATATAGTATTCTGCCCCTTCTATGGATATGTAAGGAGATATATATATTATTTTTAGTTATAACACTTTTAGTTAAGGTGTTCCAAGATACGTGAACACCTAGTATGAGGGCTTTGGTTTTTTTCCATCAGTGGCTTACGTGTCATATTTGGTGTTTCCTTTATATAATACCTAGAGTAGTTAGTATTTTTACTTTTGAGTGTTTTTCTTAACTGTATTAGAACATTAACCTCAAGCTTTTGGTTCTAATGATTTCCTACATGATTCGTTTACTAAGGTCCTTATGAAAACTCTTTGTTGTCTGGATAACTACACTTGGAAAATGTTTCTCTTTATTAAACTTTTTTTTTTTATGTACGCAATGGCATGGTATGGTATGACATTAATACAAAGACGGCACGGGTTTTGGAGTCCTGTTGGTTTTGGTGATTTTTTTTCCTTCTTAGTTTTGAATCTGAGCTGTAATGTTCTGTGATCTTAAGCAAGTTACTTGACACCTTCGGTTTTCTTATCTATAAATACAGATAATAAGGTCTATCTCAGAATCATTGTGGAGATTAAATGAAATAATTTGTAAATCCCTCAAAGAGCAAAGAGATAAAAAGAGTTATGTACAGGGTAAGAAATGAGTAGAAACCAAGATTACAGGGAAGTTTGTAGAGAGGGCCGCTGCTGCTGCTAAGTTGCTTCCATCGTGTCTGACTCTGTGCAGCCCCACAGATGGCAGCCCACCAGGCTCCCCCGTCCCTAGGACTCTCCAGGCAAGAACACTGGAGTGGGGTGCCATTGCCTTCTCCAGTAGAGAGAGCAAACCTTAAATAAAAGAAATACTGTGAATTCTTTTAAGTTTTTTTCACTGAAAAATGAAAAATTGAAATAGATTGCTTATTGTTTATATGTATTTGAGTATATTTACCATTTTGATGTTGCTCTAACACATTGTAACTTTCAAAGTCCATCTTTTAAAAAATAAATTACTCTATAAAATATTTGTGAACTAGGAGTCTTGATGTAATTTTTGACACCACTAATTCATAGCAATTTTGTATACATCATAGAAGGAACATTGTGTTGTTTACCTACCCTAAAAGATGAGGGAAATTGTATTTTCTAAAGTACTTTTGAGCAGTATTTTTTAATGTAGTTTAATAAAGGTCAGACACTGATTTTAAATATAAGATTTTGATATTTTTTAAATCTTGGGACATTAATCAAGGTACCTAGAAACTCTAAACTTAAGTGGCTTCATCTTTCAATTAACCTGTTTTGGGATTTACTCTTAGATTGTTGGTTTTTAACAGATAAATTTTACCACACAGAAGCCTCTAGAGAAAACAACAACAAAGCAATCAAATATTAAGACAAGTTTTTAGGACTTACAGTGAGAATTACCTTTAATGTTTTGAACAAATAAATTTGCTATTGAATGAAGTCAAAACAGAGGTAGCCCTATTACAATCCATGGAGATTTGAGTAACTACAGAGTGAATGTCTTCCCCTCTACCGTGTATTCAATACATATGTATAAATAATACATACATTTTTTCCTATAAGTTTAAAACATTGAATTTAAAACATTATAATTTAACAATTTCTTCCTATTTGCTTTCAGTATAAGGTAAATCCACTTTTTAAAATGTGACATGAAATATACTAGAAAGCAGTTTGCCAGCAAAATTTAATGGCCTTAGTGTGGGTTCTGAACTCCAATTATTTTTAACCCTCTAGATTATATATTTAATACTCTCTTTTCTTTCTGTTCTCTTTATCCCATTCCATTACCACTTAGGAAATAAGCTTGTCAATTTAATCCCAAGATTTTGTAGAAGGTGCTGTATGAGGAGGGGGGGCCTTTATTCTCAAGCTTCTGTGGCTCCGAATTAGTAAATATGTCCAATCAGTAAATATTTCCCTTGTGGAGAAAAATGCAATTTACTGTGAATATCTTTGTTTGTGTAGTCGTTATAGAATGTGAGTTTGAAACAAGGCCTTAGTCTGAATGCCCAGCACAGAGAGGTTAAGTCATCTATAGCTGCCTGTTAATGGCAGTCTTCCATAAAAGTAGTGCCAGTCTTTGGTTCACTTTGAGTTAATCGTTGGGTTAACTATACCAGACTTGTAATGGCTACAGTAAAATCTGCATAACAAAAGCTAGTAGATTTCTCTATGTGTAGGAAAATAAATATTCATTGAATACCTTCTCTTTACAGAAAAAATGCTGCTATGAAGACATAATTATAACTTTTGCATAAATGAAGTTACAACCATCATGATTTAGTGCTGCCCAAAGGAAGAAATTCAGTGGAAAAGAGGGTATTTCTGGGGATAGTAGAATGCGTGTGACCTGAATTTAAACTTGAGCTACTGCCTGAAGGTAATTTATTTTTTGACTAATTGAAAGTAACAGCTCTATAAAAGTTAACTATTGTCTATTACGTATTAATGAAAAAGTCAAATTACACTTTATGTATAGGTACCTTGTTTTGTTTATGGTTACCAGTTGGAAGAGAACATTTTATTCCTAGCAATTTAGTCTTAATATCTTCATTCTTTGGAACTTTACTTTGATGTGGTTAATTGAAATTTAGGGATAATAATCTATAGTATGTACTGACATTGAGGTTAGAGGGGAAATTTGGGTATTTTAAGTCACTGCAGTTGTCAGGATTGAGGAGTATAATGCAGATTGATGGAAGAATTAGGGAAGGCAGGAGTAATAGTTTTCACTTTATTCAAATTATTTTTTGAAAAGGATGTCTGTAATTTTAAAAGTATTTTTAATCTCCGTTTCAACAATAAATCAGGTCAACAGGTATTGACAACCACTTTTTCTTATAATAACCACAAAAACCTTTTTTATCATGTAGTACTACTCCATACTAAACATACTGCATAAAGGAAAATTTTGAGCTTTGAATTCCCAGAAGACAGTAGGAAAGAAGTTACCTTTCTTCCATTTGGAAAATTCCAGTCTGGTCAAAGTTCTGAAGTAAGTAGTTTATATTTGGCAAGCGTCCTGCGTTATTATCCCACCCACCCCTTCACTAGTGGGGGCTTCCGCTGTGGCTCAGCCAGTAAAGAATTCGTCTGCAGTGCTGGAGACCTGGATTCAATCCCTGGGTTGGGAAGATCCCCTGGAGAGGGGAAAGGCTACCCACTCCAGTATTCTGACCTGGAGAATTCAGAGAATACAGTCAATGGGGTCGCAGAGAGTGGGACCCAACTGAGCGAACTTCACTTTCACTTTCACTAGTGCACTTCTCCAGGGCATTCATCCTGCCTTTCCTCTTCACTGCAGCATCTCACTCAGACCTGCAAAATCCCTTTTAAAGTGCTCTGAGCCTCAAATGTACTTGCTTTCTAACCTCCAAGTTCCAACTTTTCAGGGTAGTTGTTTCTAACACATGTTAAAGGAAAAAAGTTATTATATAAATATACACAAATTTGTTAATGACTGATAATTTCTCCAGAGTTCTTCTTTTTAAGAAAAAATTCCTTGTTAACTCCAATGAAAATTTCACTGATCAAATTTCAAATAGGGTAAGGGAAAGTAAATGAAGAAAAGTGTAAGTAAACCAATAAGGGATGATTTGCAATGGAATCAGGGCACATATTAGGAAACTGAGAGTAAGTTTTCAGAATTTTTCCCCTAAGCTGTTTTCACTTTTTACCTCTCTGTCCTAAGGTCTACTTTTGGATCTGTTTACAGAATATTTTCTCAGTGACTGCAATTCCTACATAGTTAGAATTCTAGCTTTCTCATGGGATCAGAGATGTTTAGATTTCTTGCAGGAGGGCTTTTGTGTGTTAGGGACTGCCTATGATTAAATTTCAACCAGGAATAGTTGAGAACAGAAATGAGTGAAGAATTTCTTTAGCACGTTTAGTTTGCTAACCTATCAAAAAACAAAACAAAACTTTAAAGCCATGACTAATGAAGAAAGGGATTCCTTGGTGGCTCAACAGTAAAGAATCGGCCCGCAATGCAGAAGATGCAGGAGATGCAGGTTTCATCTCTGAGTCGGGAAGATCCCCTGGAGAAGGAAATGGCAACCCACTCCAGTATTTTTGCTTGGAAAATCCCATGGACAGAGGAATATGGTAGGCTACAGTCCATGGGGTCACAAAGAGTCAGACATGACTTACAACAACAAGTGACTAACAACAAGTAAGTCTTAATGCCTTACATGTAAAACTGGACCAAGTAACTGAATCACAGGGTTGTTGAAAGGATTAAATAGAATGGCATGTATAAAACACAGCCTAGTGCTTTACTGTGGTAAGTGCGCAATAAATGATAACCTTATAACTTTGAATGGCAAGCCTCAATTTACTTTTCTGTAAATTATTGATACTAGGTCCTATATCACAGAATAAGAGTAATTATTAATAATTCTAGCTAGTAATTATTAAATGAGCTTCTGTGGTGAGTCAGATGGTAAAGAATCTGACTGCAACCCAGGGTTTGGTCCCTGGGTTGGGAAGATTCCCTTGGAGAAGGGAATGGCTACTCATTCAAGTATTCTTGCCTAGAGAATTCCATGAACAGAGGAGCCTGGCAGGCTGCAGTCAATGGGGGTCAAAAAAAATATGATAAGCATTCAATAAGCATTAAATTATTTTATAGCTATGATAATTAAATTCATAATCTTTATTCTGTGTTAATAGTGCTGATATTTAAAAATCAGAATAAAGTCTCAAAAATATTTCTTTTTTTTTTTTTTTCAATCAAAGGTTTTTATTTCAGCTGCCTTAGGACTTTGGGTTTCTGCTTTCTGGTTCTGAACACAGCCTAGATTTTCGGACCACTGGGAAAGGGCAATCCAGATTCCTTTATTTCCAACTCTTTGCGACCCCATGGACTGTAGCCCACCAGGCTTCTCTGTCCATGGGATTTCCCAGGCAAGAATCAAAAATATTTCTTAATATCATCATGTCTAGACAGTGACTATCTCAATGTATTTAGTTTACTAAAAAAAAATTGTATTCTCGACAGCAGTTATTTCAATTTTAAGTCCCTCAGTAGGACTTGAATTAATTGGATATAAACTCTGTGAAAGTTTTCTGTTTGAATAGTTATTTTTATACTCAGTGTACAGTCAGTCAGTTCAGTTCAGTTCAGTTGCTCAGTCGTGTCCGACTCTTTGCGACCCCATGAATTGCAGCACGCCAGGCCTCCCTATCCATCACCAACTCCTGGAGTTTACTCAAACCCATGTCCATTGAGTTGGAGATGCCATCCAACCATCTCATCCTCTGCCGTCCCCTTCTCCTCCTGCCCCTAATCCGTCCCAGCATCAGGGTCTTTTCCAATGAGTCAACTCTTCGCATCAGGTGGCCAAAGTACTGGAGTTTCAGCTTCAGCATCAGTCCTTCCAATGAACACCCAGGACTGATGTCCCTTAGGATGGACTGGTTGGATCTCCTTGCAGTCCAAGGGACTCTCAAGAGTCTTCTCCAACACCACAGTTCAAAAGCATCAATTTTT